TATAAATATTTATATCGAACTGCTAGTGGTTGCCAGATTGTACAGTATTGCAGAGTGGACCCAGTTTTAGCGGGTAACGTCAGACCTGACCTCAGGCTATTTTATCATTTAGAGTTATCATCAACCTTGACCCTAGTCTTTTAGACCTAACACCAACCATGACCCCAGGCATAAGGTTGTACAGGTGCTCACAGGTGGACGACATCCAACTTCTTGTGACGTCACGGCGGTATTTCCAACAGAAAAAAGTATTTTGGTCTTTCTCAACTTTTAATTAAGATAAACCGATCCTGGTCTTAAATATCTAAATACCTATATATTAATTAAAGAAAAAAAAAATCAAGATGAATTTTAATAACTTTAAAAGTGCAAGGGATGCAACTGGGTATATTATTTCTGGGGCTTGGGTATCCTCCCTTTGTACATTTTTTTCCAAAACAACTGTCAATGTCGAAACGTCCTTGATTTCAGTTATAAGCGAAAAATATTTATAAATTAACTTTGTGCATGTTTTTGTGTGTTCTTTTAAGTATTGTTATAGTTATAGGTTTTTGTAATTATTACAAACACACACACACACTTATACACACATATACACACACACACATATATATTATATATATATATATATATATATATATATATATATATATATATATATATATATATATATATATATATATATATATATATATATATATATATATATATATATATATATATATATATATATATATATATACATATATATTATATACTCTCGCTTTGATTTGTAAGGTATATGAGCTACTCACATATATATATATATGTGTGTGTGTGTATATGTGTGTATAAGTGTGTGTGTGTGTGTTTGTAATAATTACAAAAACCTATAACTATGTGTGTGTATGTGTATGTGTATGTTATGGGTAATTTTGATTTTTTTGTTGAAGTGTTCTGCGCGTTTATATGTCTGTGGTTTTATAAAACATTTTACATTTTATTAGCAAATCATCAAAGATGACGCAGGCTGTTTGTGATGTAAATATTTAAAACCCTCTAGTGACGTGTATGGAGACAAAGTTGATGTAGGAAATCAAGTTGACACAACATGTTGCTGCTGTGTTAGGAAAGTGGGCGGACGTCTATATAGGGACCAGTGGTTCCTAACTGTTTGGTGGTACCGCAACCCTACCAGTTTTATTTACGCATTCACCGAACCGCTCTAAATAGTTCTATAGTTGCACTAACCTAATCAGATCGTGAATCATATGAGTCGGGTGTGTCTTTGAACTCCGCCGAACCCATGCGACTGACTCACCTAAACCCTGGGTTAGATCGAATCCAGATTTAGAACCACTAATGTAGAATATACAGCGAAATGTTAGGTAAAAGTGATAGGATAGGTTTAGAAGTATGCACAAAACGCATGAAACTTCATTAGGTGGTAATGTTATAAAATGTTTTAAATGTTTGATTGCCTAAGCCGCTCATAATTCAACCGACGAAAGCCAAAAAAAGTTAAAAACTCATAGAGTAAGTCAAATAACAAATGCGAAAAGAAAAGACAAAAAACAAACACACAAACTCCAACCCTAACCCTAAAACACACAAAATACCACTTAAGAAAAGAAAAACAAAAAAAAACATAAAGAATACAAAAACAAAAACATAAAAAAATATAGACAAAACATATGACATAAGAAAACAAAAAATAAAAGCATAAAGACAAAAAAAAACCGAACATCCAAAACAAGAAACCCCTAGATTAAACTGAAACCGTCGGAGCAAAAGAGTTGTTTTCTACATGTTATGTTAAAAGTATATATTTACAAAATAACGATTATATATTTTAAAAAGCATACACATAGGTTTCACACACAGGGAAAAGCAAAAATCGAAGGTAATTTTATGCCGCTGTTTCACTTGTCTCTGATCGACTAGGCGGTCATTACCCGATCTATGGCGGGGGCAACAGATAGTACACCCATAAAATTGTCGGGATTTGCTTGAAAATACGCAGACGTTAAACCCCCGACCAGAGAATTCATAACAACACTTGTCTGATGTGGTGGGAGTGAAGTCAATTCGTCCACAGCTACTGGCCCACACGGCTACTGGCCCACACAGCTACTGGCCCACACGGCTACTGGCCCACACAGCTACTGGCCCACACGGCTACTGGCCCACACAGCTACTGGCCCACACGGCTACTGGCCCACACAGCTACTGGCCCACACAGCTACTGGCCCACACAGCTACTGGCCCACACAGCTACCGGCCCACACGGCTACTGGCCCACACGGCTACTGGCCCACACAGCTACTGGCCCACACGGCTACTGGCCCACACGGCTACTGGCCCACACGGCCCACACAGCTACTGGCCCACACAGCTACTGGCCCACACAGCTACTGGCCCACACAGCTACCGGCCCACACGGGTACTGGCCCACACGTTTCGCCCACACAGCTACTGGCCCACACAGCTACTGGCCCACACAGCTACTGACCCACACGGCTACTGGCCCACACAGCTACTGGCCCACACAGCTACTGGCCCACACGGGTACTGGCCCACACAGCTACTGGCCCACACAGCTACTGGCCCACACAGCTACTGGCCCACACAGCTACCGGCCCACACGGGTACTGGCCCACACGTTTCGCCCACACAGCTACTGGCCCACACAGCTACTGGCCCACACAGCTACCGGCCCACACGGCTACTGGCCCACACGGCTACTGGCCCACACAGCTACTGGCCCACACAGCTACTGGCCCACACAGCTACTGGCCCACACAGCTACTGCCCACACAGCTACTGGCCCACACAGCTACTGGCCCACACGGCTACTGGCCCACACAGCTACCGGCCCACACAGCTACTGGCCCACACGGCTACTGGCCCACACAGCTACTGGCCCACACAGCTACTGGCCCACACAGCTACTGGCCCACACAGCTACTGGCCCACACGGCTACTGGCCCACATGGCTACTGGCCCACACAGCTACTGGCCCACACAGCTACTGGCCCACACGTTTCGCCCACACAGCTACTGGCCCACACAGCTACTGGCCCACACAGCTACTGGCCCACACAGCTACTGGCCCACACAGCTACTGGCCCACACAGCTACTGGCCCACACAGCTACTGGCCCACACAGCTACTGGCCCACACAGCTACTGGCCCACACAGCTACATACGTTTCGCCTACAACATTCGTCGTCAGAAGCTAGTCCAATTTTTCGCCCACAGCAATGTACCAACAACAATTTACAAAAACAAACAAATCGTTAACATCTCGCCTAGAATACGCCACAACCTGCGTCCTGCCCACAGTAATTTGTTCACTTAGATTTATTCTTCCAGTAGCAGTTTCGACTGATGTCTAACCCTAACTAAAAACGAAGCCAGGCAACTAATCCTCATCGTTAAAGTTCTAAACCTAAACCTTAGTGTTAAATAATCATAGTTAATGCTTATCCTAACTCAAACAATTACAGGTATTGTTATAATTGACACTTGATCAACAACTTTATAAGTGGCCAAAATATGATATTAATAAAGGGAAATAATCCAAACAATTTTCTTGCACTAAATACAATTGGCTACTTCGCTTTTATTTGTTCTTTTTTTTTTTTTATATTCAGAGATGAAGTGCATTATGTCTTTGTTTTTTACATCCTGCATTCTTTTTTTAATTCTAAAAAGTTCTTAAAGTAGAAACATGTTTTTCTTAAAATGTTTAACATATTCCTTCACTATCTAGAGCAGTGGCGGAACTAGAAAAAAAGGGACACCCCGCAAAAAATTTTTTTGGGCCCCCCCATATATATATATATAGGCCTATATATGAAATATATATATATATATATATATATATATATATATATATATATATATATATATATATATATATATGTATATATATATATATATATATATATATATATATGTGTGTGTATATATATATATATATATATATATATATATATATATATATATATATATATATATATATATATATGTGTGTGTGTGTGTGTATGTATATATATACAATCACATGGGATGCTCATTACTGGCCTGTTCGGGATTTAAAGAACATCTATTAAAAAATGTCAACATCATGTCATGTGTGTAAGTGCATTGCATAGTGTTTTGTGAAAATCAGTTTTAATTAATGTCTGATAGAAGTCCCCTTATTATCTAGTCGGTCAAAATAATCTAAAACATGAAAGGTTTGTATAAGTAATGGTGTCTCGTGTTATGATTATTTTTATGTTTTTTTTTAATTTATATTATTAATTTTTAAAATATTATTGATTCAATACATTTCCTTTTTATACGATGTCATTATTTAGAAATTACGTTATAAAAAAATAATAATAAAGAGAAATAATTGCTTTTTAATTTGTTTAGTACAAATCTATTAAAAGGAGCTTATGTTCTCCCCTATTTGACTATTTTTCAAAAAGGGAAATAAGTCATGGAAGTTGTTTGAACATTTGCTTATCTTTGAAAAGTTTAATTGTAGGAGAAAGACTCGGCTTTCACAGTGGTTTAAAATCAAAGGGAAAAAGAATATACAAGAGCGTAGGGTGTTGTCTATAGAATAAAGATAATCCAACCCCAGCTACGGTAATTTTTTTTTACAAAACAACCATCAAGTCAAAAATGAAAGAAAATTTACTTTTTTTTTAACTATTAAAAAAAAAAATGTATTAATGGTCGGCTCTGGGCCCCTAAATGGCGTGGGCCCCCCCGCATTGCGGGGTCTGGCGGCACTGTAGTTCCGCCCCTGATCTAGAGGCTAGAGTGTTTACATCATACACTGAGATCAAGGACATTTAGATCACTTAAATTTTAAGTTAAAAACTTACGAAATAAAGACGACACAAATATGATCATGTTTCAATAAAGTAGATATTTTATTTTATTTTAGCCAATTCAATAAATCAATTAATTTTGATAAACCTGTGTAGTGTAAGTTTTTTATTAAAAAAATAGTTTAAAAATTATTTTTGTGCTAGCGCCATGACGTCACAAGTAGGTTGATGTCGTCGGTTGGTTGCATCACCAGCGCGTGCACCTTCTCAACTGTGTGACTGGGGTCAAGTTTGATGTTAAACCTAAAAGACAAAGTAGCCTAGGGTCAAGTTTGATGTTAAATCTGAAAGACAAAGTAGCCTAGGGTCAAGTTTGATGTTAAACCAGAAAGACAAAGTAGCCTAGGGTCAAGTTTGATGTTAAACCTGAAAGACAAAGTAGCCTAGGGTCAAGTTTGATGTTAAACCTGAAAGACAAAGTAGCCTAGGGTCAAGTTTGATGTTAAACCAGAAAGACAAAGTAGCCTAGGGTCAAGTTTGATGTTAAACCAGAAAGACAAAGTAGCCTAGGGTCAAGTTTGATGTTAAACCTAAAAGACAAAGTACCCTAGGGTCAAGTGTGATGTTAAACCTAAAAGACAAAGTAGCCTAGTGTCAAGTTTTTTGTTAAACATGAAAGACAAAGTAGCCTAGGGTCAAGTTTGATGTTAAACCTAAAAGACAAAGTACCTAGGGTCAAGTTTGATGTTAAACCTGAAAGACAAAGTAGCCTAGGGTCAAGTTTGATGTTAAACCTAAAAGACAAAGTACCATAGGGTCAAGTGTGATGTTAAACCTAAAAGACAAAGTACCCTAGGGTCAAGTTTGATGTTAAACCTGAAAGACAAAAAATACCCTAGGGTCAAGTTTTTTGTTAAACCTAACATACAAAGCACCTAGGGTCAAGTTTAATGTTAAACCTAAAAGACAAAAAATACCCTAGGGTCAAGTTTTTTGTTAAACCTGACGAAATAGTATAGTGTCAATTTGTTGTTAAACCTGAAAGACAAAACAACCTTGTGTCAAGTTTAATGTTAAACCATCTCTCCCAGATGGGTTGCTGTCCCTAGCTACCAAGCCTTATCTGCCCGTGGGTTCGAACTCGGGACCTTTACGGTTTAGCAGCCATTACTCGATCACGCCGACACTGTAGACCTGCTATTTTCTTCTATTTAAGTTTTAAGATTAATGTACATCTAAATTTATCTTTTAATACATACTAGACGACCCAGTTTTCCTTTGAAAACTTTCCGGAATATATATATATATATATATATATATATATATATATATATATATATATATATATATATATATATATATAAAATAAATGCACCATGCGACACTTGGCTGGTTATAAAATGAAACAGGTTAACGAGAGAGAGCTATGAATGAATTTAATTAAAATAAGTTCAATGTCCTTAACTGTTACATTTATGATATATGGTGCTTGTATGTTGCCCAGGTCAATGAATCAGCAAATTTTACACAATTGGAGATTGTACCCATTGAATGTCCATGTCAGATACTACACTAGGATTTTTACCTGTATAAGATTCGAGCCAAAACAATTTTCATTTCATTCAAAGCAAAGTTTTGTCCCACACAGTTCCTAAGGAAAAACGAATATCAATTCAGTAAATAGTGTTAGCGGCAGAAAATGTTCAGATTAACTGTGGTAGATCTTTTTATACATTAACGACAGGTGATGTTGACAGCTTTGATTTAAATGTACCAGAATTCTATAAGTTAATTTATATTAGAAAATATCCTGTTTGGCAATAGAATATTATGCAGATGCTTTATTTCTTCCACTTATAATCTATGAGGTCAACATTTCTAAAGTTATTTTACTTTGTTTTACACTATAGGGCCTAATACCTAAATCGACGTACACTAGTTTCTAGTAAATTAACACAATTTAAAATAGCAGTAGTGAAAATGACAAATAATGAAGAGGAGAATGGCTAAATCAACGTTTGCGTGTTTGCTAACTATTAGTATTTTTACCATCATACACTATCACGCTTTTGAAAAAGATTACCACATTTTAAAAATGCATACATTTTCGTAAAATAACAGTAATTTAACAATGGAAATACGAACTTTTAATTTAATATTCTGACATAATACACAGTCGTGCTATTTTTAACTCTGTATGTTATACAAATATTTAACTTTAACATCATAGTTTTATTATTTGTATGTAAAAGTCTATCGTTGTACCTGGGTCCTGCCGAGAAAGGCACAAAAGCGTAGGGATTTCTTTTCTCTGAATTCTCTGGTAGAAATCTGTTGGGGTCAAATTTCTGTAAAAAAAATATGTATCAATTTTAAAACTTTTCGTTTTGCTTATAATCATAAAAACTTGTAAGGCCATATGCCATGAAAGAGACAAGTACTCAATATTTTTGTTTGCAACTAAAAAGAAATTATAATTTATAAGAGTAGAACCAACTAATCGAAATCTGACGCTAGGCATTCAGAATAAATTGTACTTTGAACAACCAAACAATCGCTATTAAATCTGTAACAGGCTTGAACCAACTAAACATTATAAATTATGAAATTCATCCAGGCAATGTAAAACAAGAATTCAAGCAGGCAATATAAACCAAGAATGTACGCACCAACTAATATAAAACAAGATTTCAAGCAGGCAATATAAATCAAGAATGTATGCACCAACTAATGTAAAACAAGAATTCAAGCAGGCAATATAAACCACGAATGTATGTACCCAGTGGCGTAGCGAGGTTGGGTATCACCCGGTGCGGCACTTAATGGTGTCGCCCCCCCCCAGAGGCGTAGCTACCTTTTCCGGCGCCCGGGGACAACTTTCAATTTTCGATTTGCAACCCCCATCCACCCTTATCGGGATTTGTTAAATTGCTCTTAAAAGACTTTTAACACTCGAATTAATCACTTAATTAAGTGGAATTATCATTTTTCTCTAAATATTTTGCTATTTTTTGCCTTGGTGTCACCCCCCTAAATGGTATCACCCGGTGCGGTCCGCACCCCCCGCACCCCCCGCTCCCCCTCGCTACGCCACTGTATGTACCAACCATCGAGTCCTCCCAGACTTGCGGGTTGTGGTGCGTGTTGTAGAGAGACAACGAGACCTCCGTCCCTGCAGGTACCACCAGGTCATCGACCCGTGTGTCACAGGTCATCTGTCGGTGGATGAACGGTGCGATGGAGTGTAGTCTCAGAGACTCCTTCATCACCATCGTCAGGTAGGGGAGTTGGGATAGATCCTCCCTGGGATAAAAGGATAAGTTAGGACAGTCTACACTGGAGTGTAGTCTCAGGGATAAAGGGATAAGTTAGGACAATCTACACTGGGATTAAAGGAAATGATCTGTTATGGAATTGGGAGAGATCTTTCCTGGGATAAAAGGATAAGTTATGACAGTTTACACTAAGATTAAAGGAAAGATCTGTTATGGAGTTGGGATAGATCTTCCCTGGGATACAAGTATAAGTTAGGACAGTTGTACACTGGGATTAAAGGAAATGATCAGATATGGAGTTGGGATAGATCCTCACTGTGATAAAAGGATACGGTTAGGTTTGGAGGCTGAGGTTGATATATGTTCTGACCATAAAGATAATAAGATTAGTGTATTACGGGTAAAAACTCAGGTATTTTTTAACATTTTGACACATATTACCACAAAATGTGAGTTACCACAAAATGTCAGTTACCACAAAATGTCAGTTACCACAAATGTCTGTTACCACAAAATGTCTGTAGAATGTCAGTTACCACAAAATGTCTGTTTTACCACAAAATGTCAGTTACCACAAAATGTCAGTTACCACAAAATGTCAGTTACCACAAAATGTCTGTAGAATGTCAGTTACCACAAAATGTCTGTTACCACAAATGTCTGTAGAATGTCAGTTACCACAAAATGTCAGTTACCACAAAATGTCTGTTACCACAAAATGTCTGTTTTACCACAAAATGTCTGTAGAATGTCAGTTACCACAAAATGTCTGTTTTACCACAAAATGTGAGTTACCACAAAATGTCAGTTACCACAAATGTCTGTTACCACAAAATGTCTGTAGAATGTCAGTTACCACAAAATGTCTGTTTTACCACAAAATGTCAGTTACCACAAAATGTCAGTTACCACAAAATGTCAGTTACCACAAAATGTCTGTAGAATGTCAGTTACCACAAAATGTCTGTAGAATGTCAGTTACCACAAAATGTCTGTTACCACAAAATGTCAGTTACCACAAAATGTCTGTAGAATGGCAGTTACCACAAAATGTCTGTGTTACCACAAAATGTCAGTTACCACAAAATGTCTGTTACCACAAAATGTCAGTTACCACAAAATGTCTGTTACCACAAAATGTCTGTGTTACCACAAAATGTCAGTTACCACAAAATGTCAGTTACCACAAAATGTCTGTTACCACAAAATGTCTGTAGAATGTCAGTTACCACAAAATGGCAGTTACCACAAAATGTCAGTTACCACAAAATGTCAGTTACCACAAAATGTCAGTTACCACAAAATGTCAGTTACCACAAAATGTCTGTAGAATGGCAGTTACCACAAAATGTCAGTTACCACAAAATGTCAGTTACCACAAAATGTCAGTTACCACAAAATGTCTGTTACCACAAAATGTCGCTAGAATGTCAGTTACCACAAAATTGCAGTTACCACAAAATGTCTGTATTACCACAAAATGTCAGTTACCACAAAATGTCTGTAGAATGTCTGGGTTACCACAAAATGTCTGTAGAATGTCTGTGTTACCACAAAATGTCTGTAGAATGTCTGGGTTACCACAAAATATCAGTTACCACAAAATGTCTGTAGAATGTCTGGGTTACCACAAAATGTCTGTAGAATGTCTGGGTTACCACAAAATGCCTGTAGAATGTCTGGGTTACCACAAAATGTCTGTAGAATGTCTGTGTTACCACAAAATGTCTGTGCAGCTCCTGTCTGCCATAAGCTCATCAATCTCCTGACAGACTTTCTGCTGCACGTCTCCGTGCTTGGCTATAGAGTAGAGCGTCCAACTGATGGCACTGGCAGTCGCGTCATGGCCTGGAACATATGCAGGTTATACAACAACAGTAACTTTTGATGGCCTGATACGTAATCAGGTTATACAACAGTAACGTTTAATGCCCTGTTACATAATCAAGTTATACAACAACAGTAAAGTTTAATGGCCTGTTATATAATCAGGTTATACAACAACAGTAACTTTTAACGGCCTGGAACATAATCAGGTTATACAAAAACAGGAACTTCTAAAGACCTGTTACATAATCAGGTTATACAACAACAGTAACTTCTAAAGACCTGTTACATAATCAGGCTATACACCAACAGTAACTTCTAAAGACCTGTTACATAATGAAGTTATACAACAAAAACTGCTACACCAAGAGTACATGAGACCAACAGTAAAACAAACCTGCCAGCAGAAATGAGTTGACTTCATCCCGGATTTCGACATCTGTCATCCCCACACCGTCCTCGTCAGTCGCGGTCAATAAAATGTCCAGAAGGTCCATGTGTCTTTTCCCCTCGGTGTCCGTTGGATCTTCCGTTTTCTGAAATTGTTTCAAAAATTTCTAATATTAGTTTCATCACACTATAGAAAACACCGTTCGATTTTTGTTTTTCTAAAATATTTTTTTTTTTAAATTCTAGGATTTGTTATGTTACACTACAGACAACACTAGAATCAACAGTATCCGTTAGATTACAGGTTATCTACAGTATATTTAAAAATTCTAGCAATCGTTTTCTCATACTGTAGACTAGAATAATTGATCAGCATTTTTTGGATTTGCCGTTTTCTTGAATAAATCCATGAATATATATATATATATATATATATATATATATATATATATATATATATATATATATATATATATATATATATATATATATATATATATATATATATATATTCATGGATCCTATTTTACCGTTTCTAACAGCGCTCTTTGGAGATTGGGGATTTTCAATTATTTTCTAATCACTGTAGTTTAAGTTTTACAATTTTAAATAATTAATTTTTAACTTGGAAAACACGCACATTTTAAAAGAAAACACAGGCAAATACATAAAGGACAACAAGCGGTTTAAAAAATCACATAGACACTTAAAAAAAAAAACTTGCCAGTTTTTCACGTCTGCTTTTGATGATGAAGTCTGCCACACCGTGCACAAAGTTACATTTTTGTTTAAACCTGCGGCCTTCAGAGGTCAGGAAGTAAATGAAGTCATTGTGTAGCCAAGGCCGACTGGCGAGGGGAGTAACAGTATGGGATTAGGGATTAGAAATCGGATTATATGTGAGGTGAAGTGGGATTATATGTGAGGTGAAGTGGGATTATATGTGAGGTGAAGTGAGATTATGTGAGGGGTGATGTGGCGTTGTTTTTTAGGGGTGATGTGGCGTTGTTTTTTAGGGGTGATGTGGCGTTGTTTTTTAGGGGTGATGTGGCATTGTGTGGAAGTGTGATTATATTTGAGAAGTGGGACAATGTGTAGATTACGTATGCAAGGAAATGGAATGATGTGTAAGGAGTCTTGGGATAACATATAAAAAGTAATGATTTGTATCTCAAGTGAGGTGTGACTATATTTTAGGAACGATGGGTTTTTTTGTTATTGGGGATGGTGTCTAGGATTATAAGTGGGATTATATTGCGATTTTTTTAGTGGTGACTGGATTATAACTAGGAGTGGTGGGATTATAATTGGGAATAGTGGGAGTATATATTCTTTATGAGTTGGATATAATTAGGAGTGGTGGGATTATATATTCTTTATGAGTTGGATATAATTAGGAATAGTGGGATTATATATTCTTTATGAGTTGGATATAATTAGGAATAGTGGGATTATATATTCTTTCTGAGTTGGATATAATTAGGAGCAGTGTTTCTTCCAGACCTTTTTCTCCGGGGGGGGGGGGGGGGGGCACTTGAAATTTTCGGGGGGGGGGGGGCGGTAAACTTTCTTCGGGGGGGGGGGCGGACACTGTTAAAAGTATATATTTTCTATATAAATTATATAAATTTCATTCCGTTCGGGGGGGGGGGGGGGGCGGTAAAAAATTTTCGGGGGGGGGGGGGGGCTTCGCCCCCCCGAAGAGATGCCTGGAAGAAACTCTGATTAGGAGTGGTGGGATTATATATTCTTTATGAGGTGGTTATAATTAGGAAGGTGGGATTACATATTCTTTGTGAGGTGGTTATGATTAGGAGAGTTGGTATTGTACATTCTTTATGAGGTGGTTACAATGCACACGCTAGATCATAAAAGTGTCTGGGGTTTTAAATCAAGCCTTAGAGCTGAGAATTATTGCCATATGTAGCAAAAGAGACTTACAAAAACCTGCGGACAATCAAGGCGACTATCGAGTCCACGGCCTCAACGTAGGGGTGGGACAACCTGAGGAGAAACATGAGGTTTGTTGTCTCGATGTGTCAACAAGTGTATGTGTCATGTGTAAAGCTGTCTTAAAGTCAATGTGTCGTTGAGGCATTGTGTCAACCTGTCATCTGGTCAGTGTATATTGTGTCATTGTGTCATTGTGTCCACCTGACATAATCATCTTTTCCCGTTCGTGTCCCAAGACACATGCGGCAGATGAAGTAGAGTTCATCTGTTTCAGAGATATGAAGAGATAGTGTGGTCAACACTATGCCCAGCCGCCTTTGTTTTCCCATCAGACCTGAGTAGACTCAGGGATGGTCTACTGACTTGAACCCGGATTTGAAGTCGAGGCTTTCTGGTATAGATATAGATATATAGATATATGCAGCAATGTATGTGTGTGTGTGTGTGTGCATGCGTGCGTGCGTGTGTGTGTGTCTTTTATACATTACTACACCTCGCATCTGATCGCCATGAAACTTTGGAAAGTTGTTAAAAATATTCCTGGGGATGTTTCTACGAAAAAAAAAAATTCGTCAGGGCGCTATTCAATTTTTGATGTACGGTCTATAAAAATAAAAGTCGAATGCGGTTTCACGCCGTTCATCCGATCGCCATGAAACTTTGGGGAGTTGATTAGAACACTAAATGTGAGGTTTATGCAGAAAAAAAAAAATTAAAATTTCATTTGGGCGCCGCCCGGGAGGGTGCGATTTTTGTCAATAAACGGTTTGTCGCCCAGAGTTCCAAAACGGTTATCTTAGCCCTTGGTGTCAGTTAATCGTGCGTCCTGCATAGCGGGTAACTGGTAGTACTATATTCAGCGTTAAAACTTCAACAGGCGCAGCCGCCGGCGCCCTGGCTATTGCGTGACCTGAAGCGCCCCTGGCTCCCCTGTGAACACTATGGCGCTTACGTTCATTTTAAACAGTGCGATAGCCAATTGATACAATGGGTTGCTATGTTCGCTCACTAAATTGAATCAGGCGCGCCCCCCGGCGCCCCGCGGGGTGCTATTTGGCCCCCAGTGCTTTCTCATGAGCGCTATGGCGCATATATTCGCTTTAAAGAGTGCGATAGAATATGGATAAAGTGTGATACACCACGTCCGAGAGCGTGCTGGGTGGTAATATGGGAAAACCCGTGCCCCGACTAGCATGTTCCGAAACAATATAGCGCAGGCATTACTTACATTCAAATTATTCAGTTTTAGAAAACAAGGTCACGCGTCTAAAAATATATAGAATTGGTAACGCAATGATGAAACGCTCTGAAAATATTATGTCATACTTTTAATGCGATGGCGGCAACGCTGGGACGGGCACGCTAGTTATGTATAAAATTTTGAATGACCCACCCCTCAATTTGGCAGTCAGTCTGGTAGGACATCGCACATCTAAGGATGACATCAAAAGAGAACATCGTGATGTTGACAAACGCTTTCAAGGGCTGGGATGTTTCAGCTGCTTGTTGAAACTTTATCTGGCAATGGATATTTTTGTGACAACTGTAGATGGATATTTTTGTTACAATTGTGGATGGACATTTTTGTTACAATTATAGATGGACATTTTTGTGACAATTGTAAAAGGACATTTTTGTGTTTGCACTACGGTTGAACATTTTGTTACGGCTTTAGAAGGACACTTTTTGTTACATTTCGCGCAAGTTTGTATCTTACAGTAAGTCTCACATAGTTACAAGTTAATGACAACTCACACACGTAAATAAAGATAATTAATTGGTTGTGGAAAGTTATTAGCGATATAGAGGCAAAATGTCGCTAATGTTTTAGAACTTGACTATATATATATATATATATATATATATATATATATATATATATATATATATATATATATATATATATATATATGTATATATACTCTACTTACTAAAAGTGTGTCTGTGCATCTATTCTTGAGCTCTACATAATTCCTCAAGGCCCTCGCATGGAGGGCTGTTGTTAGAACTCTTCTGTTCCTAGCCCACCTCTCCCCCTCACTCCTGAACAATCCTTCCCCTATGTAAGGCTGAATGAAATTGTAGAACCTTTTCGCTTTCAGACCTAAATGGGAAATGTCAAATATTTTCATTTTCATGTATGTTTATTGAACAATATAAATTTAACTTATTTCAGTATACACATTATGTTTTATATACTTAAAATAGTGTATTAAATATTCGGTGAAATAATCCATCATCACTTTTTTTCCTTCCGTGCCAAAGACATATGGGGTAGATGAAGTAGAGTTAATCTAATTCACTGACCTCGGCATAGTAGGGGGTAGTGTGGTCAGTGCTATTTCCGTAACGTAAATCACGAACTCATCTGAGCTTTGTGGACTTAAAGACGTCCTACAGACTAAAACCAGGATCCGAACTCGTGACTTTTGGGTTAGCAGTCGTAAGCCCTACCATTCGACCATGCCGTGACACAATTAACAAAAACGTGTTTAAAATATATTAGACCACTAGCCGAGTTTGGGACACCTCACCTGGTGATTTGAGAATGACTCTGAGCGTGTCTGGGTGGTTCACGATCACAAGCGGTAAGTAGAAGAGCCAGCCGACAAATATTCGGGGGAATTTTTCCGTCCAGGATCGCAGGAAAGCCAGCCCCTTCTCGTTAGGACCTGCGTACTAGAGCAACATTTACACGGAGTTAGATGTGTAGCACACGTGTTGAGGTCATCTGGTGTGTTAATGTGTTGACCTAGTTTTGCGATATATACACACGTGTGTTTATAGAAACAGAAAATTTTAAAGATATGTTCAGGCCCATACGACGGGAGAATCAGAAATCGTCATTAACTGACTCCGGTATTTCAAACTATTGTGGATCTAGCTATGTTCAGCTGTCTTTACACTTCCTGATATATGATAGGTAGGCCTAATTGCTAAAATTGAGTGGACTCAAGTTGTCCTTAAGCCTTCGAGAGTCGTATTGCATACAACTAAACCCCCGTCACAACAAATTTATAGTTCTTTACCCTTAAATAAGGCACTTGTCGCTTTAATGCCACCCCCCTTCCATAAAATGCCAAGCAGCAATGAGGGGTTCAGATATATCACGACTTATACTTAACACTTGTTTTATATGACCCCCCACTACACGCGTCCTTTCCACTGTATGCAGTTCTAGACCTACGTGCAGAAGGTGACCGAAGAACGGGTGGGTCGGGTCTTGCGGGAACCTCCTCATGGCGTCGACCCGCCTCCTGTGCGACAAGATGGCGCTCATGACCTTCACCCCCAGTCCAATCGTCACAACCGTCATCACCGCCCCAGCCAGGTAGCCGGTGAGGGTTGCCATGGTAACGCGGTTATCTTCTCCTGAACACGCTTACCTGATGGTAGAATTTAAAAATTTGAAATTGTTAACATATGCACATTCAACATAACAATTATCTGCCTCTTAGCCGAGTCCTCGGTCAGTTCTTGGGCATGAAAACATCAGTGAATATAGCTCTACTAATTAATCTTGTTACCTCCCCTTTTTGTTAATTAAGATTGTAACCTGGTATTTAATTTTTACAGACTAATTTAATATTAGCTTAGATTTAAAAAATACAATAATCTTGCATTGTTATCAGTAGCGAATGTTTTCAAAACGTTTGGAGCGAAATTGATTACATTAGAAGTGGGTCAAATTTGAATTTCAAATTTCGCCATAAACCCACACACAAACAAACATTGTGAACTAAATAAAAGCTTATTAAAATAAAATAAAAATGTAAAAACATCGGCAAACCTTTTCTGTAGCTTAGAAATCAAAATCTAATATAGAATCAAGTAAAATACAGAGTTCTATCCAGTGTTAGTTTTTAAGAAATGAAGAGCTGTAACTTTGGCTGTAATTTTCACCTGTGAAGTCAAGGCTTCAAGGACAAGAAACTACTTTTTACTTTGGTTTTATATCTACCAGCATCCCTCTCCCATAAATATACAGGAGACGAGGTTTTATTAACATCTACAGCCTAGGGGCAGGTTATATAAAGTAATATATATGTATGCATGTGTTAGAAGCATGGTAGCATGTTCACCCTGCGTTAGAGATCAAGTTGTCTTAGTTTGACCCACCTCCCTCCTCCCCCAACCCCCACCCTCACTGAAATGTGGGACGCAAACATTAAATTAGCACAAATTAAAATGAACATTATAACTAATTGGAGCTGGTGATACAAAATAGTTGATATTTACATGAGTCGTCTGTTTTTTTAGAACCTTAACCTGTTTTATAAGCTTTAGCTCATTTGTTTATCTCCGATGACAATGCATTGATATTTAATTTTAAATATAACAAAAGTTTTAAAAACTAGCCTTTAAATATATTTAACGACTATTATAAACTAACAAAAATGGTATTTAACCAGGTGATGGATGCCGGGTGAAGACAGGGGTCCAGCGGAATACTGCTACTGCTGCTGATGATGATGTTGATGATATAGTGTTGTGCAGTCGTCGCGTTAGAGACCACTCGCTAGACAGTTTATCCCATTCACAACTGATGTGGTTTGTGTCTCCTCCTACATCGTACTGCAATCAAAGTGAAACATTCGCAAATCTAATGTGGTCGCACTCATTTGTAACCATAGGCGCCTGCTGTTCAAATGTGCAAATATATGTATATATGCTTCATGAATGTGTGTATGATTAATGTATTATATATATATATATATATATATATATATATATATATATATATATATATATATATATATATATATATACATATATATATATATATATATGTGTGTGTGTGTGTGTGTGTGTATGAATAGAAGAATATAAGACTGTGACGAAAAGAAACCCAAAGTGCAGATGAATGTATAATTGATGAGGGCACATCAACTGTGGGTATTTAAAGTTTATAATCTTCCTAGACAAGGCCTTACGTCTTATCTTTGATGAAACAAAGTTGATTTGATGTGAGAAACTAAATACTCGTTGTACTAGATCCCGAGTAGTAATGAACACCTGGAGCCTATGGGTTTTTAATAGTGCGACACAGACGGTGATTGTGTGTTATCTCGATCGCCAACCCACAGACATAAAGACATATGTCTACACATACCATACGTTAACATTCACAATCTTGCACATACATGCCCCTATGCGTGCATGTTGGTATATGAGTGTTTTTTCACATGAACACACACAGACACACAGACACACACACATATATATATATATATATATATATATATATATATATATATATATATATATATATATATATATATATATATATATATATATATATATATATATATATATATATGTATATATATATATATATATATATATATATATATATATATATATATATATATTATATATATATATATATGTGTGTGTGTGTGTGTGTGTGTGTAAAACAACAGACTTGAGGTTATGTGTGGATTACCAGCCAATAA